GTTTAACAATAAAAAATTCGCAGCGTGCGCGTTAAGTAAAAGCCGAATTCTCCTGTCTCTCATTCCCCTTAGCAGCCATTGGCATGTATATTGAGCACTATCTGACAAGAAAAGGTTGCTACATTATACTCGCTGGGCGTAACCTCCTTGGTTTTAGAAAGGTTTAGCGAGCGTTGGGCCACAGTGCCATGAATAGGGAGTTTTAGTGCTACGTACCCAAGCGGCTTGCGTACGCAGGATGTTAGGGCGGCGGTATTGCGTATGCGCGAAACCCCAAACAGATGCGTCGCAAGATCGCTGGGGCGATGGGGCCATGCTTCCGCGCGGTCCACCTTCGCAAGAGCTCACGGTACCCGCACTGCGGATACTCTAGCCGTCGAGTTAAAATAAGCCAAAGTGCGAGCACTTATAGCGATTACACGGTTTCATCCAGATTTCCAAAGCTAGAATGGCCTGGAACATAGAAACTAAAAAGCATATGCCAGCCCCCGACCAGCTGAATAGGTGGCGCCATCTAGCGCGGCCATAGTGAAACAGACAACCACAACTTTGTTATTGCAGAAACATTGTGCACTGTACATCTGGTGCAAAAACTGTGCAGCGGCAATATTACAAACGAGTAACCTTTTTATTCATTTTCACCTCAAAAACATTACGCGTACGCTAACATGTTCATGACTGCGGTTACATGAAGTGTTACAAGATGTCGACACTGTCGTTACAGTAACCTTGTATTTTTCACTTTTTTGCGTATACCAGATTACTGTACACAATAAAAAAAGTGTACTGATCACTATGTATGTTTAATTTAACATTTAAATCATGAAAATACTTAAATAATACTTACTCGACAAGACGCTATGACTCTGCGAGCGCGTGTGAACTTCGTGCGGCTTGCGTTTGCATGCGTGCCACCGTGGCGCCAACTAAAAGGCATTCCGGTTGGGTATGGGTTGGGCACGCAACGCCGCGCGCTCCCAAGCCCGCATCGCCCCAAGAGAATGCGTACCAAGCACTAAAACTCCCTAATATAGTGAACTAGTATATACCATGAACTCGAGGTGGTTAAAGGTGGGAAGTAGACACGAAGCACAAGCCGTAAGAAAGTGTGCGTGTGCCTCCTCTCGTTCAGTCCTTGGAATGTCCGCTGGATGGCGGTGCTTCTATATGAGGAATATATGATGAAAAGATGCGAGATGGTGGTACTTGGAGTGTTGAATAGGTGGACGAACGGACACAGAGACAGATGCATGGATGGACGCACGGATGACTGCACGGACGGATGGACGCATGGATGGACGCAGGAGCGGATGCATGGACGAACGCAAGGACGGACGCACAGATGGACGTGTGGACGCACGCATGGACAGACGAATGCTTCGCCCCACTCTCCATCAATCACTCCGTGGATATGCTGCCATTTTTTCTTGAACGCTTACCTTCGGTCGCAATCACACATGACTAGAGAGTGACAAAGCGGCGTTGCTAAGAGGTGTGCCTGTTGTTACTACTCTCCGGTTAAGTTTTTAAAGAGACACTAAAGAGAAACAGTGACTTCATTTAGATTGACGAACTGCACTCTGAGAATTTAATGTCACAAGTTTAACTATATCTTCATTATTAGACGACGAAATCAAGGCTGAAGTTCCATTTCTAAATTTCGCACCGAAATTTTCGCGCGTGAGGTAAGAAATTCCAAAATGTATTTTCCGTATTTTTGCGATCTCTGCTCGACGAAAGCTTCTTAAGCTCTATATTCAAGGTCTATGGCACCTCCCACAGGTGAGATTTACTTAACTTTTCTCGGTTAGAAACGATGTAGGACCAAGTAGACGCCTTCAAATTCAAGACGTTAGGGCGTTCGGTGCGAGAATATCAAGGTGACGTCTCCACCCACATTTTCTCGCGTATACGAAGCGTCGTGTCGAGCTACTAGCGGTGTTTTCGGGATTGTGTAATGCGCGGAAAATAGTTTTTCTTTCTTTTGTGTCCCTTTGATCTCGCAGAACCCCGACATTGTGTTATCGTTGATTTGTGGCGGCGCAGTCATGTCTGCTGTTCATTCGGCGCGGAATGTCAAAACAAACGGCCGCATTTTCTTGGTCTGAAAGCTCCACCAACGACCACGGCTTAGCCTTCCTGGAGGTTCTCCGTGTGGAGCATCTAGCAGAGCAGAGGACTTGATGACGGCGCCTCGTCGAGTTTTCCTTTCTCCATGCGGCTCCAAGCAAAAAAAAAATGGCGGATGTGCGCGATGTTCCCGGAACATCCAGAATTATCAGTATCTGCTATTCGTAAAGTAAGCAGTGGTGTTCACGCTCTGACGATTTGGGGCTAAATTGAAAAAAAAAAAAACGCTAGGCTTCTGCAGAAGTAGCAGCACATTCACAGCGAAAGCTACAAGAGTGGCCTTTCAGAGCCCTTTCTAAACACTCACTGGGTAACTGCTGCAAGCACACTTGCATGATACCCACTACAGCATTAATCATAAAACTTTTCTTGGGTAGTAGGCTGGCATTCGTTATGCTATTTTTTGTCATTCTTCTGAGTAGAGTGGTATCCGCTGAACACTTGCGAGGAATTTTGTGCCAATTGTTCAGGCCATCATGTCATCGTTTTAAGCTGTCGTAATTAAACTGTCGTGGCGAAATCATTGATCATCTTAAAAATAACTTGTCTCTCCTCAACTGATTTAACATTTCATTTAGTGTCCCTTCAAATTCATTAAAAGAATCCAAAAAGTGTAAGCTATTGAGCTGATGAATGAAATGTGGATGGCGATAATTAATAATCATTTTGTGGTAATCTTTCCGTTCATGAATTGAATAATTATTCATAGATGTCACCAATCTTTGTTGGCATTTAAATCGTACAAAACCATTGTCATGTGGTCCTCAAACTTTTAATTGGGCGAATCTTAACTTTCTGTGTTCTAAATGCGTTGTTCGCGCTTGAGTGACACTAGAACTGAAGCATTGCGTCGAGGCACCGCAATTAAAGAGTGCTGGTCACTTTCCCGTATTGCCTTACTCAAAAAGCAGAGGGTTTCGTGTATGCATGACACCACACAAGTCCTCGAATGCTTCACCTTCAGCCTCTAAATCATGCTGCGAATGCCAAGCGCTCAATGGAATACGTTGGCAGTAAACAACAAAATACTCGTGCAGGTCACTTACTTCGTTAAAATAACCATACCTGTAGTTGCAAAACACTATAATAACAAATTGATGGGCTATAGAAGAAAGACATGAAAAGTGCAGATATTTATTAACTGTAAATGTGACCACGCAAGTAACTCAGTGCGATCAGTATAAGTAGCAACCGTTTACAGCATCGTTGAAGCACTTTTTATGCTCATTTCTGTCTGCTTCCTTCCTCCAAAGAAAGTCACGTGGTTTTAGTGCATTTGCTTAGTGCTACTGGAACGCGAAAACCATTTTTTCTTCTCAGTCCTTTGCATTGATCCCACCCCAAGGCTTTCCACAGCCAACGTATTCTTGCATCCGAAGGAATCGGATGCTTTCTGTAAGTCACGTGGTCTTGCAGTGCCTCCGTGATTAGTCCACCTTTGACAAATCGAAGACGTCATGTCGTGATGTCGCGTGCTGTGGATCACAGTGAATTCCCACTGACGACACTCATTTCGGTGACCCGTGACGTCATGTCATCGCAGGTTGCTTTTATTATATAAGGATTTCTCGCATCCCTCGTGTTGAAGCCGCTGAAGGTGGCATATCGCGTTTACTGAAAAATTAAGACGTTCGCCTTAAGGCATACTACATGAATTACGAGACAGGCACCGTGAGACGGGCATCACTAAAGCGAAGCCGAAGACTGGTCAGTGGCGTTCCGTAAATTATGGGTCCCCACTGCAGGCACCACCTTCATGTTACTAGATTCTCTCAGATGTCCCTTGCGGTCATTGCAAGAAATTAAGGTGAGGCAACTGGTTCACAGCCCGTCAAGAAGGAACTGCTGCAGGAGGCTGCTCGTCGCTTGTCGGCACGGCGTCCCATCGAACGGCAGCCGAGGCCCTCCTTCGCCTCCTCCGGGTGTCGACCATGCGAAGGGCGTCGACCAGCCACAGCGAGCCCACCATGAAGTTGATGATGCTGCTGAGGTAGAACAGTCCCTCGTAAGAGCCCAGCTGGTCCTTGAAGTACCCTGGATGGGGAAAGATACAGCCACTCCCACTAACCAGAAGGAAAGAAGTGTAAATTTAATGGCTAGTTTTTTTTTTTTCTAGACGCAATATTAATATCGTGTTTCTTTAACAACGTCTAGGAAAGTTATCTAGTAAGCTTTAGTGCTTGTAGTTAGGGTCATTGCATCCAGGGGGTGGCCCACCGGGCCCATGCGGCCCTCATCCCGCTTTTCTTTTTGCCATGACATAAAAGCAGAAAATTACCATTTCATGGATGTCTCCCCCCCCCCATACCGAAAAAAAAAATTCTGCCGACGCCCCTGCAGGTTGCTAGTGTTCCAGTTCTGGACGGCATCGCAGGCAGTCTACGCGGGTATATCTTAGAAAACAGCATCGAGGCCCAGTCGTCAGAGTAACGAAACGCGTCCGGATGACATCTCTGCGATGTGATGCACCTCATATCTGCAAAACAAGGTTAAGCAATACAAATGCAATTGTTATTTCTTTAACCTATTAATTTTACAGGTCTACGAATGATTGAACGTACCTTACATTGTGCGCTTAAAGAAGTGTCTGATTGTTTGCAGTCGACCACACCGATGATATCCGGGCTATTCGAGCGATCCGTTTCGTCGCCTTCCAGTTTGGACAGCAATGTAGCCTGCATCTTATTTGTCTTGGATGAGGCTTTCGCCAAGCTGTTTTTCCAGTCACTTGAGTATCGGAATGAGACTTACAATGGCCACTGCCCTTTTCTCATATATTTATTTAGCCATCTAAGCTGAGTGTTGGAATAGACTCTACGAGTCACAAATCGAGTGGAAAGAGGCGGGCCTTGCTTCTTCAGTCGTCGGCTAAAATTGCATGCTATAGGTACTTCCTTCCTGTCTAGTAGCGTGAAATATAGTCCTCAGTAAAAGCTTCTACTGGAATGCATTCAGCAAAGTCACTTGAATTTATATACGGAATACACATATTTTTGTCCACAAGCTATAGTTCTTCAAAATCTTTAAAATAATTTATGACACCCATATACGTTAAGTTATGCATGCGGCTAACAGAAGTGCCCGCACGTTTCTTATTAGATGCCGAACTAGATAAAATGACTTTTATCAATCAACTTACTTCGATATGTATGACACGGGGGAGGAGTTGCACCAATTATCTGAAGAAGAGCGGCCATTCTGCCGCGTACGTTAACTTGGACTGTTTACTTGAATGTCTGACGTCATTTCTTACTGTGTAGGTTTATGCTCGAGCTTTCTTTTTTGTCCTTGAATAGTGGCCGGGAACCCCTCACGTTTCATTCAAAAGAATCTTTGCTTTGCACATTCACCTCCGAAATTCGGGACCAATAACACGTCATTGTGATAACCATGCCATCATTTCACTTTCAGTTCTTGCATCCATTGCGTAGCTTTTATTTTTTTTTTCTAATATGACCGACGAGGGTGGGGAAGCATGGGTATTTGGTGACACATTTTTTTCCCTTAGAATAACAGAGCTAACTCAGTTGGTAACAATTCGTTGAAAACAATAAGGTGTACAAACACGCCTTCGATGCTCGTTTAATCTGGAGATCCCCAGGGTTCTGCGCTAGAACACCTCGTATTCTTTATTTATATTAATCGCCTCTCCTTGCGCACTTCTGTGAAAATACGCCTTTTCACAGAGGACTGTGGCCTATATCACAGTGGTAATTTTCTATTGGATCATTCAATTCCTTACAATTAATTTTTGATTTTTTGTAGCTGGTGCCAATCTTGGCATATGGATATTAACTTCATGTCCCTTGACTTTGACTGTGGTTTTAACAATGTTAGTTTGTGCATGGTTTCATAATATAAGTACCTTGGTATCATTATGACTCCTAATTTATATGACCGAAACATATTGGTCTCACTTCCAACAAAACCCTTAAGAGTTTAGGTTATTTACCTTGTACGCTCCATCTTGCTCCTCAGGAAACCAAACTGCTTACCTACGAAACTCTCATTCGTCCCATTCTCGAATATGGTTACGCTGTATGGAACCCCAATAAAGAATGTGATTTCAATAAACTATAATCCTTTCGAAAAAGAGCCGTGTGCTTTGTATGCAAGAGATGTGACAGGCAGTTTTCTCCAACGATTTTCCTTCCTCAGCTAGGCCTCACCACACTCGCGAAACGCCGTCATGATAAATGCCTAAAATTTCTGCACAACTTGATCACTTCTACTCGCTTTGGCACTTTAGAATCATATAAGTTTTCCAGATCTTTGTCTACGAAAAGTGACCACGCCCTTAACATTGCAACTTCTTCACTGTGTCTCTCTTTTACTCCCTTATTCCCCTCTACCCACGTGTAGTGTAGCAAATTGGACTTTGTGTAGTTACGCTTTCTTATATATTTTTTTTCTATCTTCACCCACACTGCCATGTTTAAATATAGCTTTTTTCCCACTGTAGAAGCCTGGAATTGGCGACCCACAAGTGTTCGTTCTCTAACACTTCAAGAATGTCAGAAAGCCTGTTCGTGAAAGTTGATTTCTTATTGTTGTTGTTTTTTCTTTTCCCACTACTTCAATGGCCTCATTAGGGCTGTAATGTGTAAAACTAAATAAATAGGTAAAATGAATTTTTTGTATCAGAGTTAGTACATCTGTTCTTTTTAGAATAAAAGTGTTTCCCCCTTGATGGAGAAGGTTATGCACAACTACGCTTCTTTTAACCTTTACGGTAGCTGTTTTTTAATGACTCACCAATAAGGAGTGGGCATGTCAGGGGACCCACACCCATGGCGAACCTGCAGATCCCCATGGACATTCCAAGGCTCGCCATTCCGACCCTGTCGGCCATGATGGGCACGAAGAGCACCACCACCGTGCTGGTACTCCACCCGAGAAGCACGCAGAGCACAAGCAAAGCGGGGTACGAGTGCGCCGCCAGCGGCAGCAGCGCACACGAGAAGGCCATGGTTAGCTGGCTAGCGCACATGAGCGTCCGCCGGTCGATCAGGCCCCTGCCAGGGAGGAGACCCGACATCGGGTGCGAAATGGCATCGCCAATGGCCTTCACCGAAAGCAAGATTGCGCCGTCCTGGGCGCTGAAATTTCTCTCCTTGGCGTAGTCTACGAGTATCGTGAACGTCACCATTGAGAAGGCACTAAAAGAGCATGTTGCTAAGATCATGTAGAAGACCGGGTACTTCAGGAAGCCGAGATCACGAGCACCAGCTGACGACGTCCACCTGACTTCGTGTTTCTGGAAGACGTAGGTCGCGGTAGCCTTGTCTTCGACGGCATTTCCGGTCTCGTTGCTTAGCAAAGCAACAGCTGCACTCGCGGAGGCAGAAGAGCCATTGGTTTCTCGGTTTTTGTGATCGGTACAGTTATGCAGGAGGTTGCTACCACACTGTCCTTTCTCTCGGACATCTTCCTCAGCACCGTCGGCAGCATCCATGACGTCACCGTTTCGATAGGGTGCCAGCTTTCTCGAGCCAGGTCTAATAATGGACATTGAGACATGCCCCATGTCGGCAGCGTGCGGTGCTTCTTGCATATTGGAGACTTCATGGCCCTTCATGTAATTGACGTCGTCTCCTCGGGGCTTCAGTCTGGCGCTGTTTCTCCTGGCTTCGGTTCCGTTCTGGACTTGGGCCCAAAGTGGCTTTCTGTAGAACAGGGACCCGGCCAGGGCGTGGAGCTGGAGGCCCCCTGTTATGAGCAGCGCACCACCTAGATTGTACTCCTGGATGAGCAAGAGCAGGATCATGGGGTAGACGAAGGCAGCCAGGGTACCACCGATCAAGCAGATGCCGTTGGCCGATCCGCGGTGCCTTCGGAAGTGGTAGCCTATGAGCAGTTCCTTGCTCGGCATCACGATTCCCTGACCTATTCCTGCGAAATAAAGAACACAATAATAACAATATTTCGTGGGGTTTAACGTCCCAAAACCACCATTTCATTATGAGAGACAATGTAGTGGAGGGCTCCAGAAAATTCGACCACCTGAGGTTCTTTGACGTGCCCCCAAATCAGAGCACACGGGCCTCAACCATTTTCGCCTTCATCGAGAATCTGGCCGCGGCCGGGATTCGATTCCCCGACCTACGGGTCACCAGCCGAGTACCTTAGCCACTAGACCACCGTAGGTGGGGCACAAGCAAATCAGAATGAGCGACTACAACAGAGGCGGAGCATGTGCCGGAAACTACATTAAGCCAAACTGTAAAAAAAAAACATGCCAGTGCTCAAAAGTGTCTACCATATAATGTGCAGCAAAAGTGGCCACACACAACTCGAACTTGACATGAATACAGGATATCTCTCAAAACTTCACTTCTTTGTCACCCAAATATAGTGATGAGGCACTAACGCACTGGCTACCGGGCCCTTTAATCAGGTGCACTCAGACTTAGGCGCACGTTAAAGAACCCCAGGTGCCCGAAATTTCTGGAGACCTACCATACTGCGCCTCTCGTCTCTCATATTTTTATGGTAAGTTTTGGACTTAAAACCCAATATGTTTTATTATTATTGTTATTAATATTATTATTATTGTTGTTGTTGTTGTTGTTGTTGTTGTTGTTGTTGATAAAAACAATGCAACAACGTAACCACTCAACTACCATGGTGGGTGTCGATTCTTTAGCTTCAAGCAGGCTTTGTACATCGTCAACTTTTTTTGGGTGTGTTCTGTCTTCTTTCTTTCTTGTATTTCTCTACGTGAGAGGGCAGTGCTATCGTTAAAGGACAACTCGCGCTCGCTCTTTTCATGTTTATGGCGCACAATGAGGTGTCTGACATCTTACGCGCTGAAAAGCGTGCTTTCCGGTGATTGCAGACGTATTGCCGAGAAAGCGCGTGCCAAAACAAAGGAACGAACTGGAACATAAGAGCGTAACGTGCCTCCGCAGATGCCTTGCAGAATGATCACAGTGGTCACGCTGCGTGCGAAGTAACACAGTACGCTGCTCACGCCAACGATCAGGCAGCCCAACAAAGCCTGAGTCCGCAGCGACAGGACCTTGGTCAGCAGGCCCCACAGAGGACCTGCTCATCATAAAAAAGAGAAGTGCAGAGTTTCGTACGAAACTGATATTATAAAAAAGATATTTCTTGTATAAGTCAATAACTATCTTACGCTTCTGAAAACACCCTGGTCGTTGGGAGAAGTCGCTTGGCGAGCAAGAAAACGTGCGAGAAATAAATTGCGAGTGGCGACGCTGTCTTGCAGTCATCGAACCAGTCACGATGACGTCATATATTTCAGTCGGCATATTATAGGTTATACACAGTTTCTAACTGCTATAACCTCAAGAACACTGCCTTTTGAGGAAGCCAGAAATGAACATAAGGTTCATCAGACTTCATTGCGCTCCCGTGACCTCAACGAGATCATTATAATCTTATGAAAAACACTTTTGAATCAGAAGAATCACCAATAGACATCGGGGCGTGAAAGAACCATATATACAGTGTTGTCAGGCTTATTCGAGCACTTCGTGATTAGTCAAATTACACGCGGCCGCCTACCGTAATTGGTACACTGCTGAAAAGACTAAGCTGAGCACCCTAATTAGGAAAACACACAAGATGGATCTGGACCTTCCAAACAAACAAGCACGGAACTTCTACTGCAGCCGGGCATACACAATGCGCTTGAAGAACTAATAAAGGCATAAAAAAATCTCGCGACTAGAAAGACTATCCCGGACACGAACAGGTAGGAGCATCCTGGACAAATTCGGTATAGCCTATCACAAGCAGATAAAGAATCCTTCCCCAGCCCAATCAGAGAAAAGCTACGTGACCCAAGAACATGCACCCCGAACTGAATCAGGATCAAAGAGAGAGCAGAGCCCGGTCTCTACTACAAGCTTTAAGTAGGGACAACGAAGCGCTGTTTGTAGACGCGGCAGAATGCGTGGGTCGACGTGCCGTCGCAGTGGAAGTCAATACTGACAAACAAGTGGTGAGGTCATGCAGTGTACGCAGCGGAAACCCTGAGGTAGCGGGAGAAGTGGCGATAGACCTAGCCATCGTTTGCTGGAGTAGCCGATATATACTAAGTGATTCGCAGACGGTGATCCGAAATTATGCACAAGGCAGAATTTCACCAGAGACCGCGGCTATTCTTAATGCACTATTTAACCTCCTAAGAGACGGAAGAACGACATGTAATATCGTTCTCGGCTCACACGTACCTCCACAATCCCGTACCTAATATCAATGAGAAGGTCCATCGCGTAGCGCGGGTTCTCACGTTCCGCGCCCACGGAGAAGGGATGGACATCAATCAGGGGATGGACATCCAGCAGAGGGCTTAACGGAGAGGAATGGAATGACCCGATACTCTGACGTCACAAACTTTTATTTTAAAAAAAAACTCGGGGCATTTATCCACCGCCAAGCCCCAAACTCTACAGATCTGAAGCAGTAGATTGGAGGCAATCACGAACCCAGACCTTCTCCAACCTCGTTATTTTAAGAGGATGTATGGAGACGTCTATCCAGGTGATACCTGCGAATTGTGAGGCTGGACTCACTCATCACTTAGGCGCATTCTCTGGTAATGTGCAATTTTGGTAGATAAAAATGTAGACTCCCCATATGAAGCTGCGCCGAGGTGGACGGCCACGCTGAGCCGCTCCAACCTTCAAGAGCAACTGTGATTCACTCAGCAAGCCCGTGAGGCAGCCAGAAGACAGGGTCTACGGTCCTCCTCGGAAGTAGCCTAGGCCAAGGCACGAATCTGCCGGGTTTTTTTTTTTAAGTTGTTACCACCACCGAAGGAAAGTTCCCCGCAGATTGTTAAAAGAGAAGCTTCGGCACTTATTTGGTCGCTTCTTTATAAGCCTGTGTTACTTTAATTAACGATACCGGGGCTTTCTTAGTATGACTTCAAAGTCTAAAATGATTCCCTGTTGCACTCATTCATTGCGCAAACATTGTATGGTTAGGCCCAGGTGCAAATCGTGTCATTGTAGCACCGCGATAGAATAAGCTGAAAAAAATTACACCATATCCCGCTAAAGGGGTCCACGTGTTGATGCAAAACAGCGGGTGCGAACGTTACACTGGCGGCGACGTTGACCCTGGCGCTCATCACGGCGCTGCGCAGAAGAGAAACCTTGGTAGGCGCAAAGCACTCAGTGATGCACCGGTGTTTTCTACTCTAACATGCCAATCGCTGCTAATGGGCAATGAGAGTGTCTAAGTTTCAATACTGTTTGCGCATACTGGATCCGTCAACTTTCTTTTGTTTCCACTGAAGCTTTCGGCACTCACTACCTGTTGTGCTGCCTTTGGAATTGGCTACCTTTGACTTTGACCGGTTCACGATATCAATGGCTAATGTCAATGCGCATGGGCGTGCGCATTGTTGTCCTCCCCCCAAATTGCAGCGCCCCCTCGCTCTCCCTAATACGGCAATGTGTGATGCTGACTTAGCGCCCCATTCTTAAGGGACTTGAGGGGGTGACAGACCGTCTGCTCCTCCCCCGCACACATATGTCAATATGTGACGTCATCACTCGTTTGTGATAGGTGACGTCAGTTTTTAGTGTCCGTGGATGAACAAAGACGGCCGACGCAAAAGCAACCGGCTATAGGCACGCCAATTACTGATCCGCTGTAGTGCTGTGGTGACTTCATGTTGACTTCACAAACATTGGCGATCGCCGACACAGTGACAACGTCATAGGATGCCCTGGTCACTTGATAATGATTTTTGCATCAATCGTGTTGATGCCGCCGACGTGGGACGCGGCGTCCTCGGCAGTCATTTTTAGGATTCGATGAGGCGCTTAAAGCTTTCGCCTTAAAAAATTAATTTAGTTACATCAAGCAACACAATATTGTGCAAACGCACATCCGAGAGCCTCAGACAGTGCAAAAAGTGGCTGAAATCTCGAAAAGCTTGTAAAGGTCGCGAGCACTCTGCCAAGCACCTTACGGCCGAGAAATGCCTGGCCAGAGCATCAGCCGTGACCAGTTCCCGAGCGCTTGTAGGGCTTAAAACATTCTGCTCTTTATTGACATCCGTAAAATCTCTATAGATAGAGTAGAAGCGCCTTCCCATTTATTCTAAACTTAGGTGACTTAAGGTTCATCAGTTTCATCACACTTGGCCCCGCCGCGGTGGTCTAGTGGCTAAGGTACTCGGCTGCTGACCCACAGGGCGCGGGCTCGAATCCCGGCTGCGGCGGCTGCATTTCTGATGGAGGCGGAAATGTTGTAGGCTCGTGTGCTCAGATTTGGGTGCACGTTACAGAACCCCAGGTGGTCGAAATTTCCGGAGCCCTCCACTACGGCGTCTCTCATAATCATATCGTGGTTTTGGGACGTTAAACCCCACAAATCAATCAATCAGTTTCATCACACTTGCGACCAGCACTGGTCGCGTAGCCATTTGTGACTGGCGACTTTGGCGACTTCGGCGATTTGCGACTCACGACTCAGGGCAGCCCATGTTCAAAATTGCGTGAATATAATTCACATTCCCTTGCATTTTTCTTGCCCAACAAAATAAACTGGCGTCGTGTTTCTGTGCATCCGATTGGTTTAGAGGCTAGCGATTCCAATTGCGCGATGGCAAAATCGAGCAGCGAGTGACTGATCCAAACCATTTACTTTTCGACCAAAGTGACCATACGTGACCAATCACTCAGCGGCTAACTTGATCGCGCCATATGTGCTATAGTTTCAAGTGTGATTGAGCCTTTAGTGTAATGTGTGTGTGGGAGAGCAGTGCGCTCTATTTGTCAGTGGCAATGCTGGCGCGATGACTCTGCTACAGGAGTTAACGCTTCATAAAAGTGAAGATGATCTACAGAGCAATATGTCATAACTTCTCCTAATTAAAGCATATAATTATCCTTGCTTGAACTCTTTATTTAGAAAAGAATAACTATAGGCGTTTCGGGGTATTGCATACATACTCTTTTATGGTCCTATTGCAGCTAGGTGAATCATGGACGAGCAAATGACCTGCAGCCTTGCCTTCCATTCATGTCGTAACGCATAATGCTTTTATAACGCTTACAAATGCGAAATGCGTAAAAAGCTCGCTGCAGCGCATCTCTGTAGACGTGATTCGAGCCGCGTGCTAGCAATCGCCCGTACTTCTGCTGCTTGTAGTCGCGGCCGGCTATGAAACAAGAAACCCGTTCTCCTTGTGGCTGCGGGCAACTTACTTGACCACTTGAGACCACTTAAAAAAGTGACGCCCTTTCAGCCGTGGATGGGAAGAGGCTGCGCATCACTCGATAAGAATTTCACAACCGGTGTCGGCTGAAGGCCGTGTGCTTCATTCCCGGCTCCGTCGCGTCTTTCTTTTAGCCACGCTTTATTGGGCGTGATACTGATTAAATGGCTGTTGGAAGCTCTTACAGCTATGGAGTCCCATACATGCGTAAAAGTTAAAATTAAAACGTATGTGTATTTCATGTATTGAGGGCTAGTACTTTTGCATAAGGTTGGATGGTTCTTTTTTTTTGGTCCTTGCAAAACGCTGTATGACTCTGTTTTCGTTCATGACTGTACTAATTGCCACCCCAGCTCCGTTTGTGCTGTTTGCCGCTGTTCGTACTATAAGAAAGTACTGCCCCTCCTGGCGTGGATACAAACTTTGAGCATTCTTTAGGCTGGATCGAAGCAACGAGACTATAGACTCGACAAAACACGGTGTTGACACTGGTACATGGCGCCTAATATGCAAGTTTGACATTGACAGACAACAGCTTACATTGCTGTCAGTGAAAACGTTGTGCATGTATATATATACTTTTTTTTCAATTTATTCCGACTATTATCTATCTGTAGCTAGGCAACCGATCCTGATTTTTCGCCGTATATCGTTTTTCCGCAGCTGCCCACTGCTGTTGCGCCAAAAAAAAAAACTTCGCTGCAACCAATACACGTAATGATAGGTTGACCTAATCTTCTGTATATCTGTGCCTCATTCATTCATTCATTCATTCATTCATTCATTCATTCATTCATTCATTCACCGCAATATGTTCACCGCATGGTGAGGCCTTTTTCCAGTGATTTCGCCCCGCCGCGGTGGTCTAGTGGCTAAGGTACTCGGCTACTGACCCGCAGGTCACGGGTTCAAATCCCTGCTGCAGCGGCTGCATTTCCGAATGGAGGCGGAAATGGTGTAGGCCCGTGTGCTCAGATTTGGCTGCACGATTGAAGAACCCCAGGTAGTCCGAATTTCCGGAGCCCTCCACTACGGCGTCTCTCATAATCAAATGGTGGTTTTGGGACGTTAAACCCCACATATCAATCAATTTTCCAGTGATTTCCTCTCACCCCCGTCTTCCGGTATAGCTGACCGTATCTCTGCCTGCGAAATTTCTGATTTATTAATACCATCAAACGATTCATTGCCCTGTACTGGGGTAGACTTCCATTGCACCTTGTTTTATAGATCAAATAAATAAACGAGCAGACGATCTGCATTAGTCCACTAAAGAGGAGAATGCATGGTTTTGGTTGTATCAACAAACTTCTCCCACACAATGCCAAAAATCTGTTCTTCCACAGAAAGAATGCAAGGTGGCGCAGAAAATCGCACAAATAAAATCCAGCAAGTACTCGCAAAAATCGTGATTTGTCTGGAAACATGTTATTAGGTAGATTTAGGTAATACTTCGATTACGTTGGGTACCGTAATGTGCTTACAACATCGAAGTAAACATTTTTTTTCGTCAACTTCTACAGACATCCACAACCCGCAACCTCGTTCTTATCAGCGCTACGCCACAGCTGCTAGGTTACCACTGCGGACACGGCACAATTTAGTGCGAGCGACGCCAGAAACTCCTAGACTGCCCTCTCATTATCAAAGTGCAGATACAACGCTTAAATACACATACACCTTACCTAAGAGTATGGCGAGGCTCATGTTGAGGCTGATGACCCAACTGGTCCTCTCTCTGCTCTCGCCAAATCTGGACAGCAGCGCGACGAAGATTACACCTGCAGAATGACGCAATAGGCTGAGCCAGAAGAGATTCCAGGCCACGGCCGAAATCACAAGCCAAGCCCAAGGTCCATCGGGACCTTGATGGCGTCTGTTCTGAGAGGATTCGCGATGCCTCATCTTGATATTCGTCTTGGAACTTCACGTTCTATATAGGGACAAGGTTCCCACTCCGACTATGCGCAAATGCGTTCCTACGGCGACGTGTCTTCGCGGGGAACGAGGTCTCCGCAAATCACACTGTTTGATCTGGAACTCAATGTGGAATGAATGAGTACGTATCCGTTGCTTTCGCTTCATCCATTCGGCATCTGTGGAATCCACCATGCACGCTTCCAGAAGACCAATATCACTGTAGTGTCGTTGCCTAGCAACGAAAGTGTCTCTTAGTGTCTTTTCCTTCCTGTCGTAGAGCTCACAGTTACACGTAACTATGAAAGCTACGTAAGCAGTAGATCATGCATTGTGAGGCCAGTTCTGCCGAAGCACAGAATTAAATCACTGCCTGCGGTCAAGTGTCCCAGGAGGAGCATTATAAGTAGACGATTGAACTTTCGTTTGAGCGTCAACTTTCCTGCACCCAATGGTACTCTCGTTACCTCTGCCCACTTGGAACTTTGTGAGAACAAGAGAAATGAGATGACGAAAACCTAATATTGCAAAACCTTGCGCGGCGGTTGCCTCCAGCATATCCTGCAAGTCTGCAACAACGTTTCTGCTGGGTAGCAACCTTGTTGAGGCACATCCTTGTCGCAGGCTTTCTTCTATTCTGTGTAGTAAGCAGTCCTTGTTCGGTGCTTTCGTCACGCGCTACTGACAGCGTGCATTCTCATCAAGTCACAACTTCCATGGTCTTCACAAGACGGTCGCGTACTTTCAGAGAAGTAAAATTCAACTGAAGAAGTCAGTTGCATGGCATGCCATAGGAAAAAAAAAACATCACGTGAGTCATGTAGGTGGCCATCTAGGAAGTATTGCCTTCCGTCGGCAAATCAATCCTTCCCGAGTGCTACCCACACGTTCACACCTATGCACCAGGGCTTCCCGAAAGGCCAACTGATCCTAGGAAGAATGAGTCGGTAGCCACTCTGTCGTTCCGCAATGCGGTGGCGTGACGCCACTGCCCTCACTTGATATGCATCCCATCGAGCACACTCTCCATCCGTCGCCGCACCAGCTGGCAGCTATAACGTGTGCTCTCGTGTGTGAGCAACTGCAGCCCTTCACTTTCCCGTATAGACTCGTGTTCACGTTAAAGAGATGTGCATGCAGAGAGAGAAGGAGACACGGAGAGGTTTTTATGGCAACCAGTTTTTCCGGCACTCTTTCTTTGTGTTTTTTCTTGGCGGAGCAACGCGGGAAATCGACTGTCAGTTGCCCGTGCGGCAAAGGACGTTCCACGAGCTTTGCACACTGTGCCCGTTCATGCCAAGTTTGCCCGGCTCGAGACGACGGCTGCCTGCGATTGCGTGATATCGTCACGTTACCAGGCGCGTCACTTTTTTTTCTGTTTCTTTTGTAACCGCAGTGGCTTCGCTCGGTTAACCACGCCACGGCCCGATGTAGTGCGCATCGCAACAGTCGTCGAGGTCGAGCCATTTGTACTTGAGACAAATGCTGAACAAACTACGTTGGGCGGTGATTCTGATCTGCGCAGCGGCAATTTTCAGTACACGTACAAGGGCAGAAACGGCTGTATACCAGTCTGAAAAAAAAAAAAAAAAGCGCATGTTTGGTGCCAGAACACATCAGCGTCAGAACACAGCCTGGTGAAAGGGGGGAAAATGCGATATTTGGTTCGTGGCGGAAGTACGGTCGGTTACCGCTTATAAATATGCAGCCCGGTCTCTTATGCATTTTTGTAAGACAACTGCAAGGCTATAGTCATCTACCTAATCATCTCAATCAACAGGTTGTCATTGCCATCACGACAGATCTGCATTTTTATTCATATGTCATACAGATCAATTCATTTGGCTTTCTGATTACAATTACCCACAAACATTCTCTATTTCATCATTTCAATTCTATGCTGCAAATATAGTGGATTCTACCTGCAAGCTGAGTTCGAAGAGAGCGTGTTGCTTGCTTGCTGGGTGCGGCATAAAATCATGCATTTCATCTTCATTACACTCGTGGAAGCACAATAAATGTTGTTGCAGAGATAAAATGGCACGGGCTCTTGCTTCTAGTTACATTGTGCAAGATAATAAACGTAGTGAAACGCACTTTTACACCCTGATAAGCTAAAAAATTTAAAAACACAAGCTTCCCATGCAAAAGACATCGGTTTGATTCTCAGTCATGCCGAATGTTTTTCTTTATTATTTAGCTATTCGACTTTACCTTGAATTTTCGTTCACGAACAACGTTAATCTTCTATTTTTTTACAGCGTATGACACCGCCCCGCCGCGGTGATCTAGTGACTAAGGTACTCGGCTGCTGACCCGCAGGTCGCGGGATCGAATCCTGGCTTTTCCAGAATTCGAACTATTTTCAGATGGAGGCGTAAATGTTGTAAGCCCGTGTGCTAGACTTGATTGCACGTTAAGGAACCCCCAGGTGGTCGAAATTTCCGGAGGCCTCCACAACGGCGTCTCTCATAATCATATGGTGGTTTTGGGACGTTAAACCCCACATATCAATCAATCAACGTATGACACCGCTTCTCAAGCTGACACCGACAGCGGAACCGCTGTGAAACGAGCTATTTAACGCTATCGCTTTATCATTGCTGCAGATATGCACTGGTAGTAAATGTACGGACTAAACAACAGAGCTGATCGCATTGCTCTCATCCTTTCCCTCCTGCTCGCATATTTCTTTTCCCACTCCTTGTTACACTATAACATACAACACTATGCTATGCTTTACACTCTCCTCCTTACCCTGACATCTCTCCTCTTCATCCAATTTAACGGTTTCAACCCTTGTTACATTTTACTATACATAATTATTTCTTCCCTTCTCATTCCCACATATCGTTTCACCTCACCACCGCTTCTCTTTCCCGCCCACTTGCTTATGTCGTGTTGTATATGCTTGGCTGTGCAATGTTTGCGTGGGCACTGATAGGAACACAGTGTACAAAAACGTCGGCGATGCGAAGTCTGCAAAGACGGCGAACAAGCATGACGCGGGTGAAGCACGCCCACCAACTGATTTAAATTCAACGAGTGGACGAAAAATTCCAAACCTGCGCCTAAAGCGCAGAGCGGTAAATGCGAAAGCTGAAAAGGCGGTATTTCTAAAGCTGTTTGCGTACTCCTTTGGGGCTACTAATGCAAGTAAACGCCATAAATAATTTTTCTTGTGAAGTCAGTGCAAGCTTACTCCGTAACGCTATTCGACATTATGGTTAGGAGGGTGAGAAGCGGGATTCACGAAGCATGCAAGATTTGCAGACCTCGGACGCACTGTTACACTGTACTCATGTTGATGGACGATCGAGAAGAATAGCGTCTTCGCTGAAATCGGCCATGGCGGCCACTGTGGCTGAGGCCAAGTCAACCACGGAGCGATCGCAAAACACTTGTCGCAGCAGGAGCAACTGCGACAATACGGCCAAACACCAGCCAGAAAAATCGGTATTCTCTTTTACCATTCAGTGGTCGTTTGTCTTGTCTGGGAGCCGGAAAAGGTGCGAAGAGATCGTGGCCCCTCTTCCTGATCCATGACGTCGTTGTCACGTGATTTGCAATCCCCGTTTGTCCGCCGAGGAGTCTTTCCCCGTATGAATACATCATTAATGTTCCAACTAGCCCCTACACAAGACCGGCCGACACGCAAGACCCGATCAACGCTCCAACAGGCGCTCTGGGCAAACTTCGCAAGGCAGTGTGTGCCGTGGAACATAATCAGAATTCCGCGCCAACGCGATTTTTTTTTTACACTTTCTCATCCCTCCCGTCTTACTTTAGGGGCCAAAACACTTTAAGGCCCTGGCTTGTAGGCATGTTGTTTCGTCGTCACGGCCAATAGTAAATGAATATGCGCCACGAAAAGTGGTAAATCCCACCACTGGCCACCAGTACACTAAAAGGGGAGAAGACATAGCCTAACGAATAGCCGGTGACATATCAGGATTTTATTGCATTATTTAAAGGAAATTTGTTTAACTCATTCTCGAAATAGGTTTCGAAACCCAACCCTTCTGAAAATCATACTTCTTAGCATGTTGCAGTGTGTAACGCGAAGACAGCCTACGGCAAAATCACTGCTAATGGACAGTGATAGAGAGGAGAAAATACAAAGAAGAACCACTTTACTGTAAGTTATTCCGACTCAGTTTTCCGAAGATGTTTGTAGAGCTTAAGTACCCTTCCCTGTACGCCCGGTTTTAGGCTCTGCACAACTTGTTTCCTTGTCAAAGAAACGTCTTTAAACAATACAGTGAATTATCTCGATCAGCATCTTGTCCTTCTCGTTGTCAATGACCAGAGTGAATGACGTTGAGAGTAAACAGCCGAATACTCGTTCATGTCACTTGCTTTGTTAAAATGTCTGTTCCTCTCATTAGAAATCACCACAGTAACAGCCTAGTGGGCTACCGAGAAAATACCTGAAGAGTGCATATATTTATTAACTGTACTTGTGACCACTCAAGTTATTGTGACCTACGTAAGTAGCAGCCGTACGTAGCGTCGTTGCAGTTTTTTGTATCATCTTTTTAATCTCTGTCCTTCCTCCAAAGAAAGTCGCACCGTCCCATGTGCATTTCTCTTACACTACCAGAAGGCGTCTTTTTTTCATCTTAGATGATTGCATTGATGCCACGCCGAAGCTCTCCACGCCCAACGTGGCCTTGCAATGCCTCCGGGATTGGAGGAATCGGGAGCTTTGTACACCTCAGGTGGTTTTGTAGCGCCTCTGTGATTGGTCCACCTGTCAACGTGTGACGATGTTGTGACGTATTAATGTGACGCCATGCTCTGCGGCGAGGAGGGACGTATGACGTCACACATATTGGTGACCTGAGACGTCACCAGACGTGACAGGTTGCCGTTATCACATGATTATTTCTTGCATCACTCATGCTAACGCCGCTGAAGAACACATTTCGCGTTTGTTGAAGCGTTAAAACGTTCGCCTTAAGACATACTACATAATTTAGGAGACAGGCACCGCTACATGTGCATCACTGAGGCACAGTAAGGACTGGTCCATGGCATTTCGGAAACTATGGGTCCCCACGGTGGGCCCCACCTTCACGTTACTTGCTTCACCAAAATGTCCCTTGCGGTCATTGCAAGAAATTAAGGTGAGGCAACTGGTTCACAGCCTGTCACGAAGGAACTGCTGCAGGAGGCTGTTCGTCGCTTGTCGGCACGGCGTCCCATCGAACAGCAGCCGAGGCCCTCCTTCGCCTCCTCCGGGTGACGACCATGCGAAGGGCGTCGACGAGCCACAGCGAGCCCACCATGAAGTTGATGATGCTGCTGAGGTAGAACAGTCCCTCGTAAGAGCCCAGCTGGTCCTTGAAGTACCCTGGATGGGGAAAGATACAGCCACTCCCATTAGGGTCTGTCTAAGGAAGGTATCTCGTAAGCTGTAGTGCTTTTAGTAAGTGTTATAGTACTTGTAGCTAGAATCAAACATTAATAGTTTCGTTCCAGTTCTGTACATCACTGTCTGACAAGACATCTTAGAAGACAGCATCGAGCTCCAGTCGCCCGAGTCATAGTGGAACGCATCCGGACGATGTCAGTGCCTAGATGAGGCACCTCGCGTCTACAACAGAAAACTAAGGAGAACAAATATATTTGTTCATTATTTAACGTCTTTCGCTTTCAACACTATGAAAAATTAAACGTGGTTTACATTGTCTGCTTATAGAAGAGTCTGCTTGTGTGCAAATGACTATACCGGTGAGATCCGGGATATCCGAGCATTCCGCTCAGCCGCCGTCCTGTTTCGACAGCAAGGTATGCTGCATCGACTTCGTCTCCGATACTGTCTTTGCAAGGCTACTTGCCCGGCCATAATAGTATCAAAATGACATTTAAGGTGCCTGGTGCTCGCTTATCCGTCAATTTAACCATCTACGTGGAGTATTAGATTAGACCTAATGTGTAACGAATCGAGTGGAAACAGGTGAGCCTTTATTTTTTAGCTACTATATAAACGTGTAGGCTATACTACGGTACTTGCTCCTGAACTGGTCATTATACAGTCCTCAGTAAAGGTTTTTACTGGACTTAATTGCGCATTATGTCACCGAAATGCATGTATGAAATGCATATGTTTATGTTTACGAGCTGCATATTCGTTTCAAATGTATGACACGCATACACATTCAGTTAAGTATATGGTTAACAGGCACGCCCACGTCTTCCTCTTTAAGGGGCGAGGCTTGATAAAATGACACATATTGTTCAGCACTTACGCCCGTAGCAATGTTTTCATGCATCACAAGGGGGTGGAGGCACCAATTATCTAAGCGTGGGCATCTGTTCTGCCCTCTATGTTCACCTGGACCTTTCACTTGTATCTTTCACATAATTACTTCATGTGCAGGTTAATGGCCTGGCCTGTTTTTTTTTCCTGTTAATGGCGACCAAACCCCTCACGTTACATTCGAAGAAATGTTTACTTCCCATCTTTACCCCCGAAATACGGGTACTACTGACGAATCAGAGGGCACCATGCACACCATCACTACATTTTCAGTTTGTCCATTCTTTGCGGATCTTGTTTCTCTTTTCTGTTGCGGTAGAGAGAGTCCTTTGCGAAAAACAAAGAAAAACTTGGCCCCGGCTGTTTAAAAGCCCTGCGCAAACTTATGCTCCCTTTAACTTTCACAACAATATTAAAGACGATAGTCTTCCTTGGGAACCTTCGACGCAAAAATTTGGTCTGTCTGTCTGTACATTTGTCTGTTTGTCCAGTCTTAACAGTATTGGGTACTCTAAACGCCACCAGCAGATACCTCAAATGGCCAACCCCATCCGCAGCGCCCACCAATGTTGCCCAAGATTCAGCGTTCATACTTGTGCGATTGTGAACTAAAAAGCAATTATTGCGCATATCTGAGGCACCATAACAACACGTATATATTCTGTATGTGCGTCTTTTACTAGAAAAGGCCTACATAAATAATTCTAAGGACCGTAGCGTTTATCACGCTGCACTGACCATGCAACGCTTGCACGAGAAGGCGAGTGTTTCCAACGCTTTGCTAGGACGACACGGTGGTGGCACCTACCCGTCGCCTTGCGTTCTACACCTTGACACCTTTGAGACGGGCGCGACCGCCCGTCTGAAAGCCACGCGCTTCGTCTTTCAAGAAAACTGCCAGATGGCGCTCATGTCTCACGATTGACGTCATTTGATGCACTCGTTCGCCTCCGCTGCACGCTCGAGGCACTCTAACGCAGCTCCCCCAGAGTACCATTCACCAATTTTCGTGCGCAGAACATCGAATAAATGTTTTGTTCACTTTCTTCACACACAAGAATATCGTCTTTCGACGACATTTGCAGATTAACATGAAGATACGGGCCAATTTTTTATCTGTAGCTCACCGATAATAAGCGGGCATGTCAGGTGACCTATACCCATGGCGAACCTGCAGAACCCCATGGACAGTCCAAGACTAGCCACTCCAACCCTGTCGGCCATGATGGGCACGAAGAGCACGATTGATGTACCGGTACTCCACCCGAGGAGCACGCACAGTACAAGCAGCGCTGGGTACGACTGCACCGCCAGCGGCAGCAGCGCGCACGAGAGGGCCACGGTGAGCTTGCTAGCGCACATGAGCGTCCGCCGGTCGACCAGGCGCCTGTCGGAGAGCACACCCGACATCGGGCGTGAGATGGCGTCGCCGATGGCCCTCACCGACAGCAAGATGGCACCGTCCTGGGCACTGAAGTTTGTGTCCTTGACGTAATCTACGAGTATCGTGAACGGCAGCATCGAGAAGGCACTAAAAGAGCACGTCACTAGGACCATGTAGAAGACCGGGTACTTCAGGAAGCCGAAGTGGCCAGCCCCAGCTGACTTGGTCTGCCTGTTCTTGTGGTCTTTGAACTTCCGGTCGACAGAGGTTGCGGTGACCTCGTCTTCGATGGCAACTCCGGTCTCGTTGCTCAGCAAAGCAACCACTCCACTCGCGGAGGCGCAAGAACCGTTGCTTTCCTGGTTGCCGTGTTCGGCACCGTTACGCAGGACGTCGGCAGCATCCGTGACGTCACCCTTCCTCTCGGGTAGCTTTCTCGAGCACGGTCCATCGATGGACTTCGAGACGTGGTCCTTGTCGGCAGCGCGTGCTGCTTCTTGCGTCTTGAAGACTTGGCGGCCCGTGACGTATTTTCCGTCGTCTCCCCGGGCCTTCAATCCTGCGCTGTTTCTCCTGGCTTCGGTTTCATTCTGCGCTTGGGCCCAAGGTGGCTTTCTGTAGAACAGGGACCCAGCCAGGGCGTGGAGCTGAAGGGCGCCGGTGATGAGCAGCGCACCGCCTAGGTTGTACTCCTGGACGAGCAACAGCAGGATCATGGGGTAGACGAAGGCCGCCAAGGTACCACCGATGAAGTAGATGCCGTTGGCCGAACCACGGTACTTCCGGAAATGGTAGCCTATGAGCAAGTCCTTGGTCGGCATCACGATTCCCTGGCCTATTCCTGCGAAACAGACAACAGAAGGACAGAAACAAAGCACTTAAGCATTTGTCTTCAAACCTCCAGCATTTTGAAACGTTGTTTCCCTTCTTGTATCATCAGCTTAGTTAACTATAATACGCATATTGCTCGTCCACAGTGTGTGTGTACTCATGATCTTATATGTGTGAATATAATTTCATTACCTTTTATTTTTAAACGGCACTCAAAGTTGAATACACTTCTGCATGATCCCGAGAAGGGCCCGTATCATTAGCAAGTAAATAAACAGATGAATAAGTAAACAAATAAATTGAGTTTGATATGCATACAGTTGCACATGCCCAAGCAAACTTGCCCAACGTGTACCAGATCACTATTTAAGATACAGATGCCTTTGGTCTGTAGCACTAATGGCCGTTGTGTCTTCGAGCCCATTCTCCGTACCGATAAAAGATTAAATTGTGTCGGACTGCACGAAATTTAGACATTGCACCTTTGTGCAGTTTGTGTTATAGGTTGCCTAATGGTCATCGTGTTGTGTGATGAGATTAATTCCTCAAAGCTTCGTTTAGTAAACTTTTTTTTCTCATTGAATGCTATCGGGAGTCCCTGTCGCAACGCTTCAACTCGTTAGAATTACATTTTAACGTAGTCTTTCGAGGTTTTATTGTAGTCTTCCAATGTGTCCTTGCCAATACATCTAGAACACTTCGATACAAACCTACCTATTGGTACAAGTGAGCCAGCTCAGTAATACTTCCGTAAATCTCATTTAGGGTACGGCTAAGTAATAACTGCGGTGGCTCTGGCTGCGAGTCAGCTTCCATAATTAAAATATTGCCGTGTTTTTGTTGAGTATTAATCCGAATGAGACACAATGAATATGTTCTCAGAACCTCGGTCCGAGGAAGCCGTAAGCGAAAAACATGTTTGCTGAGCCATAGTTGTGTTTTATACATGAATAGACCCACTTTAGTATTGCTACGATGGTCCAATCGCGATGCGATTCGCCGCACTCTCAAAGGCGCGGTCGCGCTGGCATCAATCGCCAATGGTCATTTGACTCCGTTTTGGCCACTTCGAATCCCCACTATCCTCCACCACTGGCCCTTGCAAGACGCACCAGTGTATGTAGGCGTCCTTATGACAGCAGCGCTGACAACGCATACAGTACACTCTATGACTTGACAGTCAAGGCGTTGGACTTCGAATCGGCTACATCGTGTCTGCCTCTCCGTCCGTATAGCTCAACAGCACGCTAGAGGCAGGTGTGGAAATGGGAAAGGATTGCCTAGCGATGCGTAATATCTGAGTACATACGCACATACCAGTAGTACATGCGCTGTGCAAGCTGTGCCAAACGGGCAGTGCTAGAATCTGCTGCGCGAGGGCTGGGGCGTTGTCAGAAGCGAGTGGTTTTGAAGCCAGTGATAACGCTGCGCAAAAGTTTCCTGATTTCAGCTGATTTAGGCGGCTGGCTCTGCATATGTTACTACTATGCGTTCCCTCAACCACAACCTTGTATCATGTCGGTGCTCTTTTTTTTTTTTTTTTTGCAGTACACGAGCGCACATTTTCTGCGACTGACGGCCAACATCGAGGTGTATACTCGTGCTAGGCATCGGTGCACGATACTGACAATATGTATCAGTGGTACTCGTGCAGGTTCTGCAGAACCACCGCACTATCGTAATGATCACTGCCCACACCATCTTCGAGAACGCCGAGGTATTGATTGATTTATTTGTGGGGTTTAACGTCCCAAAACCACCATATGATTATGAGAGACGCCGTAGTGGAGGGCTCCGGAAATTTCGACCACCTGGGGTTCTTTAACGTGCACCCAAATCTGAGCACACGGGCCTACAACATTTCCGCCTCCATCGGAAATGCAGCCGCCGCCGCAGCCGGGATTCGAACCCGCGACCAGCAGCCGAGTACCTTAGCCACTAGACCACCGCGGCGGGGCGAGAACGCCGAGGTAAGCATTCGCCAAGGTTTTTGTTTGCGCTCTCGTGTATCGTGGTTCGATTGAAAACTTTCATAGTGGCACGCCAGTGTCATGGAAGTACGGTATGGGGGAATCGTATCTAATTGAGAGCATGGTGGCCGGCAGCAATCTTCGGTCAGCCATATTCCTCTGACGCTGGCCTGTGGTGTTCCCTTATACGCACTTATCCGTGAGATGGCTCTTTTGGAAACCCACAAACCCCTAACTTCTCTGATGTAACGCGTAAAGTTTTGGTGCCGATGACACAAACCGCTGGTAACTTACCTGGAGGCTCACCTGCCAACATCGATCAGTCGTTTCCGCATATTAACTGTACAAACATTTCTAAAAATTAAAGACCTTATTAGACGCCCGCTTCATTAATTTTTCGTTCACACCACTGGGCACTGGCTAACAGCCGTCCGCATACGCGCAACCCTCGAAGCACAGTGCGACGCGTTGCAGTGGATGTACCCTGTGTATGCTTATTTAAAGATTCAAATGCGACAACAATCTGATGACTGGCATGTGCAATTGCGCCTGATAACCACGTCATGTCACGACAAATCTAATCTCTGAACGTAATGTTGGCCCTGATCTATGCGTCCGAGTCAAAATCACGCTGATACAAACCGAAATGAACACGGTGGGAACAACATTATGAGTGCTCCTTACCCCTGAATTTTCCTGTTTCCTTCCGCGAGTGCTGCACTTAGTAATTGTAGTATGTAAATTATAATGTGCCAAAACGACGACGTAATAATAAAATCATGGGTTTCACGGCCTAACACCATGATATGGTCATGAGAGACGCCATATAGTGGTGGGTTCCGGAAATTTCCACCACCTGGTGTTTCTTAACGTGCCCTGGAATCGCACAGTATATATACATGGGCCTCTACCGTTGCGTCACCACCGAAATGTCGTGGCGGGGATCGAACCCGCGTCTTTCGAGTCAGCAGCCGAGAACCATAACCACCACTCCACTGCGGCCGACTGCTGTTTTAAGTGACCCTAAGCCTAAGTACATTGATGTTTTAACCGGCGCTGTTGCCGCGTGCCAAACCAATGCCGAACCCGTGCCTTCGAGCTTAGCAGCACAACATCGAAAGTGTGCACCACGATAACCTCTCTGCTCAAACGATAACTTTTGAACTTGCCAGATGTAGGACATTATATATGTATACGTATTATTTTTGTTTCCTGATATTTTATGTTCTAACAAACAAGTGAAAAAGTTTAGCCTATAAAAACAATGACGACAACAAGACAGTCATGTGTTTGTTATTTATTTTGATGGAAAAAAGTAAGCAGTGCGACATTGTAACCGCCAAGCTACTATATCGATTCAATTGAGTTTCTACGTGTGTTTCTAAATACTCCACTTTCTCTTGTTGTCGTTTTTTTTTAGTGTGGTCTTATTTATTCTCTCTCTTTATTTCATTGCGTAACACGCTTCTGCCATCGCTAAAAGACAGCTCGCGCACTCTATTTTCGTGCTTCTGATTCGCAATGATTCTTCTAACGTCTTACACACTGAGAAGCGTGTTTTTCATAGTTGCTTCAACATCTATACCGCATGGAACTGGTATGCCGATACAAAGGAACGAATGCGAACCGAAGACCCTATAGCACTACTCAACGTACCCGCACAGATGCCTTGCAAGACGATCACAGCGGTGAGGCTGCGCGCGAAGTAGCACAGTACGCTGCTCACGCCGACGATCAGGCAGCCCAACAAGGTCTGGGTCCGCAGTGACAGGACCTTGGTCAGCAGGCCCCACAGAGGACCTGCGTATCAGAGGAATTAGAAATGCAGAGTTCGGTATGAACGGCACACTAAAAAGAGAAAAGGTGGTTCTCGCTTGAGAGAATGACTCTTTTACGAGGCCAAAGCAATCGTTGGGAGGAGGCGCTTGGCAATCAAATAAACGCACGAAAAGAAATTGCAGGTGGTGACGCCGTCATGAAATCCCCGCACTATAGCCACCGTGACGTCATAAATTCTGACGGTGTTGGCTAAGCTTTAAATAGTTCCTTATCGTTTTAGTTGGGTTGCATTGTCTCCTGAACGGGTATCAAGGCCAAAACCTGGTGCGGGGTGTTAGGAAATGTCACGTGACCACACGCGTACTTCGTGAATAAAAGCGATCCAGCTGCGCGTTCACTTCGTGCTTACGGCAATCGTGCGAATAAAAAAGCGGCGCTCGTGTGACATACAGTGTATTAGCTGCGAGGGCCTCCACTATAGACAGGCCAGCGCTGCGATCGTTTTGACGTCACAGATAGGATGCGTAGTTGTGGAATACGGCAGCTTTGCTTTCGCGGCACCACTTGCATCATCCCCCATGGCTGCACCTTTTACGATGCAAATTAAACACAAGAGTGCCACCGGGGGCGTCCATTCGCAGTTTGCTTGCCCATATTGCCAGGTCTTACCACTTCTTTAAACACTGAGCTTCAAAACAAGGGGAAGCGCGCACGGTGCCCACAGGAAAAGCGCAGGAAACGCGGTGTTCTATAGCAGACAAAGTCAGCCCGGCATCCTATGAGTGACGGCATCACGTAGGTGGCGCCACGGTATGTCCTCGAAGAATAGCCACGCCAAATGGTTCTCGCCTTGTTCGGCTACTTGTCATCGCATAAAGCATATCCGTCATGCCCCGAAATATTGTTTTGTTTGCACTAATTCGCCAGCTCCTCCCCACCTGTCGGGAAATTCTGTCCACAATGTTCACCGAATAATAATAATAATAATAATAATAATAATAATAATAATAATAATAATATTAATAATAATATATAGGCTTTAACTTGCCAAATGTTCAAAACATGGATACCATATGACGCACGTCATGTACTCCGGAAACTTTGACCTCTTTAACGTGCACTTGCATCGTATACAGGGTGTCTCACGTAATTTTAGCCAGAGTTTTAAAATATGCCGGATTACGTAATTACGACGTGACCAAATGCATGTTGCTCACCGTTACCTGGAGTTGGACTATTTTGTGTGTTCTCAAATATTGTTTAATTAGATATGTTTAATTAATTAACTTTTGAAGGAACGAAGATGGATAAAAAATTTCAATGAGGCAGCCATACATCGGTTTGCAAAACGTCCAAATAGATAGTTTTGAACTTTATATCTGTTAAGTATTAGTGTTTTTATATATCTGTAAAGTATTAGTGGGTTATATCTGTTATAAGTATTAGTGGGTGTAGGCAACACAATGCTATCGGCGGCCGTGCTGCATGCGTGAAGTGCAATGGAAGCACTGCCCAATGCTGAGCTACAGTTGCGCTGAACGCTGAGTGGGGCCTAGAAGTTCGAAGTTAGGCGAGGTGATGAGATGGAAGCCGAGCGGAATGTCTTATGTGCATTCTCAAAGCGTCTACGCGGATGTATGCGTTGACTGGATAATCACGCGCAATGATGACTGTCGCTGCTGTAGACGCGCATCTCGGGAGACCAAGGCAAATTCTCAGTGCTTGGGTTTGGATCGACTGGAGGACGCGCAAGTTTGTTCTTCGGATCCCGCAAAGCACGGGTAAACCATATAACCGCATATAACCGTGGAACAGAACAGTGTAGAGTTGAAGCATTGCTCGTACCGATGCACCCCACGTTTTTCTAGCAAAAAACCTAAGCACGTGGGTGATCATGGTGAGTTTAGTTTTCATGTGGGCGATGTGAGGGCTCCAGGAGAAGTCGCGGTCAACTATGACTCCGAGGAATCGGTGGGTCTTCATGTACTAGATCGTGTGTCCGTTGATCTTAATAACATATGGGCTCATCATCTTATGCGTAAATTCTATAAGCGAGCACTCCTCTGATAACAGCTCTATTGTCCCCGTTCTTCCAGGTACTTTGTCGCTAGTGTAGCCGCTCTCTAAAGCCGGACACGCAAACGGAGGCGTGTTACGCCTGACATCCAGATGCAGATGTCATCTGCATATATTGATAGCTGTACAGATTCTGGAAGTGCGTCAACCAGGCCGGGGAGCGCTAGACTGAAAAGCGTGGGGCTAAGAACACCACCTTGAGGCACACCACGACGGATGGAATGATGCGTTGTTGTAAAGCTCGTCGTAAAGCTACCACCACCGTTGCGGCCCTGCCGAGACAGCACAAGGGCGCAAATGCCATGGTCGTTCGTACGCGGAACGTTAGGGAGCACTAGAATCATTGCGCGCCCTGGTGCACGAGAGGGTTTGTAACGTGGTATTTGTTTGTATTTAGCGGGCATTTGTAAAAGAATGGCGATTTGGGTTAGTTGGTTTTTGCCTTCCGTACCTCGACTTTGTCTGTTTCTTCTAGCACATTCGTGCTCGCGCTGCAGCCCTTATTACTATGAAGGGCATTTGTAAGTAGCAGATGAACACTAATATCTAACAGATATAAAGTTTAAAACTATTTATTTGCACGTTTTGCAAACCGATCTACAACTTTCTTATTGAATTTTCAACTATGTTCCTTTCTTGCAAATGTAGTAAATTCAACATATCTAATTATACAATATTTCAGAACACAAAAAATAGCCTAACTTCAGGCAACGGTGAGCAACGTTTGGTCACGTCGTAATTGCGTGTTTCGGCATATTTTAAACTCTGGCTAAACTTACGTGAGACACCTTGTATAGTACACGGGCCTCTTGCATGTAGCCTTCATTAAAATGCGACCGCGGCGGCTGGTATCAAACCCGCGACCTTGGGGGCCAGCAGCTGACCACCGTAAGCTCTCTACCACCAATGCTAACGATGCTGACATGATAAGCCACTTCGCATTTTAAAAGGGCGGTGAAACTTTCTTTTTTCTGCATTCCCCAGTACCGGAGTGCAAAAAGCTTCGAATACTGATATGAACGCCAAAAGAATTATCGAAATCGGTGCACGATAACGGATGTTATTAGGCTTCAAGCTTGAAAATCTCAGCGGGCGGCGAGAAAAAAAAACGTTACTTTTCGCATTTCACTTCACCGCTTTGCGTTGTCCGGTATGGCAATGACGAATTTTCAAATTTTTATGTTAAGAGAAAGGGAACAACTTTATTAAAAAAATAAATGAACCTCATTCCGGATCTACCAAATTAAAAAGCTATAAACTATCTCCTAGAAGGTAACCCTGATGGGATGCGAAGCAGCAGTGGTGGGCACTGTGTTGACCAGGTTGAAACAGGCGTCGACGCGAGTATTGGGAGAAATGTTTGAAGCGAAACTCGGTGTAGCGTTTACTCGAGTAAACGTTTGTTTAAAACGCAATGACACGGGTGGGGGGGGGGGGGGGGGGAAGAGGCGTTGAAAACGTTTGCGCTCGGCTTCCTTGGCTCGCGTCTCGTCGATGTTACCCGCACGCCGTCTGCACTCTCGAATGCAATCGGCGTTCTTGTCTCGCACCTCGTCGGTGTCACTGGTCTTCACTGCCTACGCATGCGTTCAGCTTCCCTGGCTCGCGCCTCGTCGCTGTTTACGTCGCCATTCGCGAACGCGATCGGCTTCGCTAAGCCTCGCAACGCCGGCGACAGCCGGGAAAGGTACATACGCGCACACTAGCGTCCACCCGTCGGCGCGATCGCGCGGCAAGTAGCGGCGCGCTGTCGGCGCCGCGAGATTCTCGCGAGATTGTCGGCGCCGCGAGATTCTCGAGACGCGCAGCGCGCGCACCCGCCGGCTCGCGGCTTCTTCTCGCCGACAAATGGAGAGAAGTGGTTGGTTAGTGGTTCGTAAGGAAAAGGAAAAAGGCACCTAATTTCTGTCTGCCTACATGCGACACGGCGCAGTGCGTTGAAGTGGCACGGGCGAGATTATGCCAACGGGAGGAGTGGGCTCGAGTGTTGCGAGTGGTGGAGAGGGTGAAGCGGGAAAGAGCTGACAGCTACTTGGCGCCACTCCAACACCTGCCGCGAGGGGAGCGGTGTAAATGGAGGGACAGCGTTACACAGGCTATTCAAAGAGCTGCTTCGCATCTAGAAGGCCTAGCCATCAAATAGGCCTAGAAGCCTCAAATGTTCTAGTAGCGCCTTCATGATGCCTGCGGACGAGTACGCCAGCCACAGCCAGCCACTCATCGCAGGTCTTTGTATGTAGGCATGTGTTTGAGGCTCTCATCCGTGGCTGTACGACCACCCGGAGTCCCAGAGAACGTGAGCGTTATCCAAGAAGGCACGGAAGGCTACGCAGGCTAGGAGACCCGTCCTAGCCCTGTAGTACTCAATGTGGGCTGCCATTAAAAAGTGCGCGTAGGCACGTCTCACCAGGGCTACCTCACGTCTCGTTATGGAGTGAAGTGGATTGGGATAAACCCTGCGGTTGTTGCGCATCTCGTCTAATCGTTAGCGTCAGTCTAAACGTGTCATATCAAGTGATTTGGTTTACGTCAGTGAATCCAGCTCGAAACCCTTTTGCATCCGAGGAAGTGTAAAGAGTGTGTTTATAATTTCAGCGAGCAATACTGTGGCCCAACTAGCAACCCATGATTATTATCTGCGATTTCTCAGTTCAAGTTAATCAAGATGAACGGCCCATGTCGTCACTCCCACGTGATGAAGCGTCACTACCAATGCCAAAAAATAGCCGTTGTGTGTCACTCAAGTCTGAAAACGATGTCTCCGTTAGAATAATATTATCACAGCTGTATTTTTGGCATTGGCACTCGCACAGTTGAAGAAGTAGCAATGAAAACCTCGCTCCTAATTTGCGTTGCAGGCTTCCTTTAGGGAAAAAAATAAGAACAGGAGAACTTATACTGGAAATGGTATACGTAAAATTAAAAAAAGGAAGAGGACTCGATTG